CCTGTACACACTGTCAGAGTTTGCGACAGTCAACAACGCCACAACGACAGCTTCGACCTTCAAGCAGCCAAGTCGTCTCAACACAAGCACACCCTGCTTCTCAAGCCCAAGCCTCGACAACGTCGAAAACTCAACCTGCACAAGGGACGAGAAACATAGTGAGCTGCATGGCGAGACTATTGGATTCCTGCATCACTGAGTCACCACCATATTACTCACCAGAAGAGCAACTTGACGAAAGCACTCCTCGACACGAGACACTGGAGACCAACCCAACATACGCAGCCATCGCCAAGGGCGAGCCATCCGGGAAAGACACTTGGTTCTTGGACAGTTGCTGCGGGCAGCATATGTGCTCCTCGGGTCGTTTCGTTCAACGCGAACACCAACTTCAGCGCGAAGTCGTCATCACCGTCGCCAACAATCAGAACCTGCGCACACGACGACAGGGCGTACTGCAACTTCGATCACGAGAGACAAAGGTCATACTGCAAATGTCAAAGGTTTTAATTGCGGAGGGACTCGGCTACAACTTACTGAGTGTCAGTCAGCTGATGGCGAAAGGTATCCACCTCGAAGCGGACAGCACAATACAGGAGTTCAAGCTGTACCGCGGGAGAGGAGGCCTCTACATCGGCAAGGCCGTGCTGAAGAACAACGTGTTCGTCCTTGACTTCGTTCCAGATTTAGGCACCGCCGACAGTGACGGAATCGTCATCTTCACCTCCTGGACGCATCCACCGGATCTCGATCCTGACTTCAGCCCCGAAGGTTTCTGGTATTCGCACACCATTCCTGAGGCAGAACGAACAAGAGCATTAGCGATGATTCAACATTTGACAGCAGCAGAGACAACATCTGCAGTAGCACAGACAACATCGGCAGCAGCAGAGACAACATCGGCAACAACAGAAACAACGTCAGCAACAGTAGAGACAACGGTAACAGTAGCGGCAACATCAACACCAATCGCTGGTCCTTCAACGGCACCGATCTTCTTCGACGACACACCACCCACTCCCGCGTAGCAGCTGAATCCGACTCAACAAGAAGTCCATCGAAGCGCCAACTTCATTGCCAGCTTGTATTCCAACTCCGCTTTGTATCGACGCTCACCCGGACATCGCGCCACCGAAGGAATCTGGCACGCAAGAATGGGACATCCAAGCAACACGGTGTTAAATAACACAATAAGAGTAGGCGTGCTCGACAAAGATTCCCTACTTCTAACTGACGGCAGAGAACTCCAGCGAGTCCGCAGAACATGCTTCACCTGTCCAGAAGCCAACTTACCGCATCAGGCGTTCGTTTCTCACCACAACCCGAGCGCACCAGCTTACGCACCACTTGAGAAGGTGTACAGCGACATCCTGTACAACCGCGAACTTGGACAAGGAACGTACAACTACGTCATCACGTTCATCGATGCCGCCACACGCTACGTTTGGCACCTCAATCTTCCGAGCAAAGATATGGCATTCGAGGCTTTCGTCGCCTGGCTCCCAGTAGCAGAACGAGAATCAGGCGTGAAGCTAAAGAGCTTCCAGTTAGACAGAGGAGGAGAGTACACCTCACAGAGGTTCAAGCAGTACTAGGCAAAGAGGGGAATCAAGCGGCTCATCTCCCTTCCCTACGCCCATCAATAGCAAGGTGTAGCAGAAAGAATGAACAGGACCCTCCAGAACACCATGCGCAAGCTGCTACGTGGCACGCACTTACCCAACCACCAGTGGCCTGAAGCAATGGACCATGCTGTGATGCTGAACAACTTGCTCTCGTCATCATCGCTCCTGAACAACGCATCACCGCATCAACTGTGGACAGGAAAATTGGGCAGCACAAAAATGTTAAGAGTTTTCGGCTGCATGGTACAGTACCGACCCCCATCTACACGAGCCGGCCGATTCTCCCAACACGCACAGTGGGGACTACAACTGGGCATAAAAAAACAGTGCAATGCATGGAAGATTTTCGACATCGACACAAAGGAAACAGTAGCAGCACGTGATGTCATCTTCTATGAGAATCTCACCCTCCGGACATACCTTGCTAGCGTGGAAGAAAACAACCCTGACCTCTCGGGCGGATTCCTTGGCACCTGAGCCTTCGCTTCAGCAGAAGATGAAGCTGACTGGGACGAGCAGAACGTGGAAGGAGCCTCGGAGGAAGCCGAACCTCTTCCCTACTGTTCAGTCGATGTTCCGATGGACGACGAAAATCCACGCGGCAGCATCAACGCCGAAGTTTACTATCACTTCGCCGACAATGGTTACGTTACACCTGCACAAGTCAACACCGACGAAGGAGAACACGTAGGACCAAATTTCAACCCAACACTAGAAGCGGGAGACGAAACAGTCTATCACGAGGATACAACACTTTCCCGCTACACACAGAGTGGACTCCAGATACTCGATCTCGTCACCGCGGTTCACGGCGCAGCACTTCCTAAGGAGCCTGCCACAGTTCAGCAGGCTCTGAGAGGGGAGCATAGGGAGAAATGGTGCGAAGCCATGGACAGGGAGCTGAAAGCACTGGAGGAACGCAACACTTGGAAAGTTGTTCCCATCAGCGTGGCACAAAACAAGACAATACTCACCAGGAAATGGGTCTTCCGTGTGAAGACAAAGGCAGACGGTACTATCGACAAGTTCAAGGCGCGCTGGGTCGTACGTGGCTTCGACCAAGAACACGGACGCGACTTCACTGAAACGTTTGCGCCGGTCAGCCGACACACTTCACTGCGAATTCTCCTCGCGGTCGCCGCCATGAAGAAGAAGCTACGGCAAATCGACATCGCCAACGCCTTTCTTTACGCACCTGTCGACGCAGAGATCTTCGTCGAACTACCGCACGGCTCAAACGGAGAACCCAACCAAGTCTGTCAGCTGCTGAAGTCCCTGTATGGCATCAAACATGCACCGAGACTGTGGCAGCAGTACCTGCACGCTAGACTTATTCACATTGGATTCTGCCAGCTACCGCACGACCAGGGCATGTACCGACTCACAAAGGGCAACGACTACATTCTACTCATCGTCTACGTAGACGACCTGCTCTACATCGGTTCGACCGACGGCGTCACTACCTGGTTCGAAGGGGAGCTGCAGCAAGATCTCACGCTCACGGTCTCGTCCACCGTCACGCAGTATCTCGGCCTCAATATTCAAGAAGAAGAAGAAGACGCGATCTACCTCAGCGCCGCGAAATATGCCGACACTATCGCTACACGCTTCGGACTCACCCCGATCACCATCTTCACGCCATACCGCTACACCGCAGGAAAACACAAGGAAGGCTCCGCTGCGCTTAAGCCCGGCGGCATACGCGACTACCAGAGAAAGCTGGGATGCCTCCTCTTTGCGGCTGTCACCTGCCGTCCGGATCTATCATACTCTGCGAGTCAACTCACCACCTACCTCAAAAGGCCCGAAGCAGAACACATGGCAGAGCTCGACCACGCTCTTCACTACCTCGTTAGCACTCCGACGATCGGCCTGACCTATCACAAGAACGGAACCTCGACACCTAAGTTAATCGGCTACGTCGACGCCGATCACGCCAGCGACTCCGACAACAGACACTCGCGCACCGGCTACATGTATCGCTTCGAACCTATCGGACCCATTTCGTGGCAGTCGAGCAAGCAGGAGTTAATCGCCCTCTCCTCAGCTGAAGCAGAATATATCGCACTCTGCTCAGCCACCAAGGAAGGACTGTACCTTCACGAACTCCTAGAGGAAGCGAAGCTGGCTCAGTTACCCAGCTTCTCCCTATTCTGCGACAACCAGTCAGCAATTCGCATAGCCAATAAAAATGGATTCGCGAACAGGACGAAGCACATCGCCCTGCGATATTTCTTCGTAAAAGACAAGATCGAGAAAGGTAGACTCGAACTGTCCTACTGCCCCACATCCGAGATGGCAGCTGACTACTTGACCAAGAAGCTTGGAAAGCAGAAGTTCGAGTACTGCATGCTGCTGAGCGGACAAAGCCACGTCACCAGCAGCGACACTCAAGAAGCGAAGGGGGGTGTTGGAAACAAGTAATTTAAGCGCATCTGTCGTGTCGAAACACTAAGCCATAAATGAAGCGAAACACAGCGAAGCATCGGCGAGTCAATCCTCGGAGGTTGAACAACTGCTGAGAGGTTACGCGAAAGTCAAAGGTCAGCGACCTTTGACCTGACAAGTACAGCGCGACAGCAAGGACAAACAACTGACTCGTTATTGAGCAGTTGCCCGAGTCGTCACTGTATCGAACCGCAACAGCAACAGTAAAACAGTTATTAGCTATAACCCTTCACATTCCTTTGTACTCTTATAAAAGCTTGTATCTCTTTGTTTAAATCAATCTACTTTGCCCTCACATACCAACGCAAGGTGGTTCACAGACTCATCATTAAACGCTTCCGCTATTACATTGTTTCTACTTAGAGTTTAGTCCTGCAAAGATCCTAAGGGCTTTTTCTCAGCCCTACAGAACTAACCTACTCGTGATACCATCTCAAAGTAGGAATGCAACGGAATGATGAGATTAGGAATGTGGGTGATACAAATAGCAAACCCTAACTGAGTTGTACTCACTAAGGAGCACCTCACTACAGCCTATCACAAATATCAATATTTGACATCGAGACCTTTGTTGATTACGAGTGGCATATTTTCCCCTACCAAAATGTAGTGCACCAACTGTAGTGTACCAGATGCATATACACTAGCACAACCTTTATAACGTGTAATGTACATGTGAGACTGCATTGCTTGTTCAAGAGCATTTCACAAGTTGAAAGCCTGCACAACTAGTCAGGAACATGTGCTGTAGGCTCAGTTCACATGATCGTATAGTGCTTAGTTAATTCACTTCAATTTATATACACACAGTAGCATGGCATGGCATACCATACAGAGCAAGAGAGTGGGTCAGCCGACTTGCTAACTTAAGGGAAAGGGGAGACAAGTGGCATGGGACACAATTCACAGCAAGCTAATGGGTCAGGCTCAGCTGCCTCGGTAGGTGGAGTAGGAGAAGGGGGAGAGCAGCAGCGGCACGTGAAAATGCTCCCTCTCTTGCTCTGGCAGCACTTGGAACACCATAGACACACTCGAGAAGAACCCACCACCATTGCCACTGCTAACTTGTGCGTTTCCAGCCACTCTTGTGCCATGCATCAGCCCAAGATACTCCCCAGTTGCAAAGCTCAGACGATAAATCCCAGCCCCCACCCCTCCACCTGCCAGCAACCCAGCAGCCCTGCCATCCGCATTCGTCACCCCTTCTCCCACTCGCTCCCATCCCAACCGCACACCACCACTCTCACCGCTCCCACCAGTTTCACTCTTGACCTCTCTGCTCCCCTTTCGGGCTTCTATCTGTTTCTCCAGCAGCACTTTGATGCCGGGAGCGGGTCTGCCTCGAGTCACGTCGAGCACATGCGTGGAGATGGACGGATGCTTGGCACTTGTAGTGGGTGTGACTGTAGTCGGTGGAGTTGTAGTTGGTACAGATGTGGTTGGAACACCTGGAGTGCGCACGGGGAAGCAGAAAAGAGGAGGGAATCAGGAGTAGAAGATTCAGGGTTGGATTTAGCTGTGGTTGAATAACACAAGGCTGGCTCAGGAGGGAAGCTGCATTCACTTTGATGCCAGCAGCGGGTCTGCCTCTGCCCAGAGCCACATCCAGCACGTGCGTGGAGATGGATGGAGGCTTGGCGGTTGCCCTGGGTGTGACTGTAGCGGGTGTGACTGCAGCGGGTGTGACTGCAGTGGGTGTGACTATAGCGGATGGTATTGTAGCGGGTACAGTTGTGGCCGAAACACCTGGGGTGAGCACAGGGATGCAGAAAGAAAAGGAGGGGAGTTGGGAATCCAGGGCAGGATGAGGAAGAACACAAGGTTGGGTCCCGGATGAGTGAAGTGAAGGTTTGCTCAAGGAACGTGCTGCATCCACTGGGGGATGTAGGATGTAGGAAATTCAGGGCGGGATGAGGAAGAACACAAGGTTGGGTCTGGAATGAGTGAAGTGAAGGTTTGCTCAAGCGGTTGCTACATCCACTGGAATGCCAGCAGCAGGTTTGCACAGAGCTACGTCCAGCACGTGTGTGGGGGTGGACGGAGAGTTGATGCTTGTCGCGATGTGTAACGCACTACTACCACACGCACACCTGGGCTGATGTGTGCTGTGACTCTAACCAAACGGTAAGTTGCAGGAAAGTAGTGGACAAATAGTCCGGCGATTTTATTTATTTATTTTTTTCAATCGATTGATTCAAACATGTGTCTCAACCATCAAAGGAAACACAGAAGCATGCACACACCTGGGGAGATGTGTGCTGCGACTCTAGCCAGACGGTAGGTTGCAGGGGAGGAGACTGGGCGAAGGAAGGTATATCCACACGGAGAATGCATGGTCGGGAGAGGTAGGGAAAGAGAGGAGGGGAGAAGACTTTACTAAGAAAATAGCAGTGAGTTGGGGTATAAGGTAATCTTATAGAGGGTGATGGGGTTGGAAAGTACATAGGTAGGACAGCACTAAACGGAGTACAAGGTTACAGAACTACACCTGTGGAATTATCGCAATTGGTGGGGGCGTCCAGCAGCAGCTTCTCCAGCCTCAGCTGGGTGATCTTCTCTTGCTCCTTTCGCTGCCAGCTGCACCTCGTAGATTAGCTGATTTTCCAATCGCTCCTGTTACAGGAAAAACATTCCGGGTTTTAGTTTGCTGAAGTTTGCTGAAAAAAAAAAGGAGCAAGAATCGCACTCAGACACTTTCAAGTGTAAGCACGCTACGAGTCAATCACCTTTAGAGCAGAGAGTATCTCTACTGGAGGCTTTCCCTGAGCACAAATGATAAAGATGTGCCCAAAGCGCTGCTCATATCGGCGATTGCACTCTGCCATGTCCTGACATGGGGCAGCAGAAAGGCAGGCAGGTGGACGGCCAGGCACACGGACATATATATATATACATATATATATATTTACAAATATTTACAAGGGAATTATGCGTGCGGCACAGATTATGTGACTCAAGTGAAGCACGCCTTACAATGCTTACTTTGGTGTGAAATGAGGCTGCTTGCATGGAGACAACAAGAAAAAAACAAACAAAACTCTAGGCTGGAACAAGATGTGCTTGCCTGAAAGGATGAGTTGCCAAAATCCTGGAAGGGAATTGTGCTTGGCGCACATCCAAACTGCCTTAGGGGAATCACACTTCCAAACACTTTCTTTGCTCCGGATTCTATATGTTAATGAATTGTGAAAGCTTGCTTATTGCAACTTGTAATAGGCATCGTGCTTCATTTCATCTGGGTAAGAGTACATCAATCTCGTCCAAATGTCTACAACATACAATTTCACTACATGGGGTGGGAGGGTGGGGAACTCAAACTAAAAATCTGAAAAGAAGAACGTGGGTGAGGACAAATGGCCTCCAACCCCTCTTTTGTAGCCAAAAGACGGCGAGTAGCGATGCGACGCTGCCTTTGCTGCGTTGGCAATCGCTTCACTATCACAATACAAAATTTTAGAAAGTGAATACACTTTCAAAAATTATAATATTGTGAAAGCTTCCTTATTGCAACTTGTAATAGGCATCGTGCTTCATTTCATCTGGGTCTGCTGAGACATGTGCAGAGGAGGACGGCGCTGTCGCTGGATAGACAGGTGATGCTGGTTGGAGGATGGGGCTCGTGTGGGGTCCTGTATCAGCTGGGATGTGCAACGAGCTGGTCTTGAGCGATAGTGACGTAGAGCTCCTTCGCGGTGTCGCTGCGCCAGCTGAGAAGAAACGAGAATGAATGAACTATGAAAGAGTTGGGTACAAGTACTAACCGTAATTGGGTTGTACCCCTTATGGGCTACCCCACTATAGCCTACACAAAATGCATAAGCTATGATGTTCTTACACACCCCCATAGGCAAAGTGGGGGAGAACAAGGGGTCAGAAGACCAGTCAAGCAAAGCAAAGCAAGCTCAGGGTGGATAACAAAGTCACCACACATTCCGAGCACAAGTTCAAGGCCGCAAGCCAGTTCATATGCAGGAGTACATATATATATAAAAGGCTAGACAAGCAAGAGAAGGTGTATACATATATATATAAAAGAGTACAAACAAGGTCAAGAGGTAAACAAGTGAGGCAAGGCAGGCACAAGACTAAGCTGAGTACAGAAGCGCTGATGATCACAAGGCGCAAGCATCTTGGTGAAGATATCAGCAGCGTTGGCCTCAGAGGCCACGTACGCAAGACGCAGCTAACCACGCTGCTGCAGCTCACGAGCAAGAAAGTAGCGGAGAGCAATGTGCTTCGTTCTGTGCTCCAGTCGCTGCTCTTGACACAAGGCCAGCATGGCCTTGTTGTCTACGTACAGCTCTGGAGGAGAACGAGGCGGCTCTCCGAGGTCAGTCAGCAGGTAGGTGAGCCAGCGAAGCTCCTGAGCAGACATGGTTCCTGCGTGGATCTCAGCCTCACAACTGGAGCCGAGAACAGAAGACGAGCGAGTAGCCCGCCACGAAACAGAGCCGGAACCAAGGCTGAAGGTGTAACCCTGTGACGACCGCTGCGTAGCCTGGTCGTCAGCCCAAGAAGCGTCTGCGTGCCCAGTGAGGACCACTGGACTCCGCCCTCCAAGCACAAGCCCCATGCCCGACGTACTGCACAAGTAGCGCAACACCCTCTTCGCTGCAGCCATGTGCTCTGGTCTGTGTCTCCCAGGAGAAACATAGCGTGCGAGAATGCTAAGAGGGTATGCAAGGTCAGGTCGTGTGCAGGTCATCAAGTACATGAGGCAGCCATCAAGCTCTGGGTACGGGCCACTCGACTCTACGGACTCATCCGAAGGCAGAGCTGAGAGCGAGTGGCGAGTAGGCAGAGGAGTGGCCTGAGACGAGGAGTACGTGAAGCCGAAGCGCTGAAGGACCTGCTGCACCATGTGTGACTGAGTCAGGGTAATGGTGCGGCGTGCTCTGTCCCGGGTGATCTGCAAGCCAAGGTAGCTGCGCAGTTCACCCAGGTCTGTGCACGTGTGTCTCTTCTGCAGCTCGGACTTCACGTGGGCGAGTCCAGCAGTGTCAGCTGTGGCAAAGACCAAGTCGTCGACGTACACGAGGATGTAGAACAGCGGCAGAGAAGTGTCGGTGCGCAGACACAACGACGGGTCGGCAGTAGAGGGAGCAAGCCCAAGAGCCGCAAGTGTAGTCCTCAGTGTGTCGTGCCACTCACACGGTGCCTGGCGGAGACCGTAGACTGGCCACCGGAGGCTCCACTGGGTGCCAGGAGGAAAAGACTCAGTGAAGCCAGGTGGGCGGCGCAGCCAGATCTCCTCGTGCAGGCTGCCCTGCAGGAAAGCAGTGCTGAAGTCAAGAGAGTGTAGCTCGTAGCCACGGTGAGCAGCTACGTGCAGTAGTACCCGAAGAGTGGTCATCTTCGGGGTGGGAGAGAAGGTCTGAAAGTAGTCAACTCCCTGTCGCTGACTGAAGCCACGAGCTACGTAACGCGCCTTGAAGACAGTCAGAGAACCCGGCGGCCGCTTAGCCCTGAAAATCCACATGCCACTGACGATGTTCGCCCCATGCAGGGGAACCTCGTCAACGTAGGTGCCTGTCGACATCCAGGAAGCCATCTCTGCGTCCATGGCAGCCTGCCACTGAGAGAAGTAGGGACCCTCACTTCGCGTAAGAGCGCGGAGTCAGGATGTCAAGTGCATCCGGGTCTCCCTCAGGGGTAAGCAGTACGGACACGAGATGAGGTGAAGCAGCTGCCAGACACTGGAACTCCTCCTCCTTGTCCTCAAGGACGTCTGTGCCAAGGGCACACTCACCCCCGACGGACGGAGGACAGACAGACTCTGACTCAGCGACAAGACTAGTAGCGTAGTCTAAACGACAGCGAGCAGCAAAGTCGACGAGCTCAGCAACTAGGACAGACGCAGCAGTGGACTCAAAGGAAGGGTCAGTGATGACAGTAGCAAGGAGACACGTGACAGTAGGACTGGCAGCACGAAGAGAGTCCGACTCCGGGTCGGCAAGAGCAGAAAGAGAGGACTCAGGAGGAGAAGGCAAATAGGCACGCAGAGGAGCAGTGGACGGACGCAGAGACATCCGATGCGTGCCAGGGATAGGAGGAGGACGCTGACGCGAGCCACGACCACTAGTGCGAGCAGCACAGACAGGCGACGCAGGACGAGACGCAGGCTCAGGACGCTCAGCCAGACCTCAAGTAGGACCAGTGTAGGGAGAAGGAGCAGGCACTGGGGAGGCCGGCTGTAACTGTAACTGTAACTGTGACGGGACACGCTGTGGACACTTTAAGGGAGGTGGAGGACCAGTAGAAGGCGGGAGACCAAGTACCTGCTCAAGGAGCGGAACGAAGTACGGCCGAGGCCGCGCGGCGACTCCAGACACAGCAGGGACAGCACCAGCACCCCCAGCGGCAGCATCAGCGCCAGCAGCACCTCTAGCTCCAGTAACTCCAGCGCCACCAGTAGCACCCCCAGCAGGACCGCCTCCAGGACCGACAGCAGTAGCCTCAGCGCCAACACCCTCAGCAGCTCCAGCTCCAGTCGTACCCGCAGGCCCAGCAGCTCCAGTACTCCCAGTACGAGCACCTCCGGGACCCGCGGCACCAGCACCCTCAGCAGCCGAAGAACCTCCAGCTCCTGCAACACGCCTCTAGCGCCGGGCAAACCACTCGCGCAGCTCGTGTTGAGAGAGTGGCTCCCGCCGAGACGAAGCACCCGGAGAACCTCCAGGCCCAGCACCGCCAGACGCCACACGAGCAGGCCCAGCTCCCTCAGGCTCCGCACCCCCAGGCTCAGCACCTCCAGGCGTAGCACCCCCAGGCTCAGCACCCCCAGGCGTAGCACCCCCTGGCTCAGTACCCCTAGGCTCAGCACCCCTAGTCTCAGCACCCCCAAGCTAAGCACCCCCATTATAGCACCCTCTGGCTCAGCACCCCGAGGCTCAGCACCGCCAGTCTCAGTACCCCCAGAGTCAGCACCCCCAGGCTCAGCACCCTCAGCAGCACCAAAGTCACCAGTAACCTCGACAGGCTCGACTCCGTCTACGTGGGACACACCTGAAGGGGCTGGACCCTGAGGGGGGAGAGGGTCTACCGGGGGGGGATCTGGTACAAGGAAGAGCGGTGGCGGGGGCAGGGACGGAGTGCGGTAGGGGAAGAGGCGGTAGTAGGGGACGGACTTGTCAAACGTGACGTCCTGGGAGGACAGAACACGGCGAGAGGTGGGGTGGTAGAACTGCCACCCTCGTGCGTCAGGGGGGAAGCCGAGGAAGACGCAAGGAGCAGCACGAGGGGACAGCTTATCCGCATAGAAGTCGCGGACAAACGCCCGAGATCCCCAGACACGGAACGCAGACACATCGCCAACCTTCCCCGTCCACAGCAAA